TTATCTAATCATTTGTACTGAGAAGCAAAGTGACTAGGAATAAGGTGATAAAAGTCCCACTGGACTGAAGACATCTGGAGGATCTTATTCGGTTCCAGGCCCATTTTAGGAAGAGCACAAAGTGGCACGTGTCTAGAGGATGGTGGAGGGCCCTGAGTTCATACTACATGAAGGTGGTTGAAGCAAATGGAGGTATTTGTCTGGGAAGACTTAGAAGGGGAGATGACAGCTTTCTTCAACTACCTGAAGTATTGTAGCATGTCTTATTCTGTCTGGTTGCAGACAGCAGAACCAGAAGAGATGGGTGGAAGTTGCCAAAAGGCAATTTAAGGGTTGATATCAAGAAAGAATTTCTAATAATCAGAGTGATATAAAAACAGTGGATTCCTCAGGAAGTAACGGGCTCTTCAGTAGCTGGTAGTCTTCAAGCAAAGGCTGGATGGATGACAACTTTTTAGGCACAGAGTAGAGGGAAGGTGGGTTTTTTGGGTATAGACTGAACTAGATGAGTGCTGAGATCCCTTTCAGCTCTGTGATTCTGGGAATGAAATTATCTTTATTTTCCAAAATTAATTCAAAACCACAATTCCCTTTGCTCATGTTTCTATATAGCTTTTTTGTTCCTTTTGCTGATCTGTTTCATAACACTAAATGCAAAATGGTATTGGTCAGAACATATACAGCATTGTCAAATGCATAATAACTTTTAGTTGCCTGTACAACAGTCTGTTTTATAGCATCTGTCACAAAATTCTACATTAAAGAGAGCTCTGCTCCCTGCGTAGAAACCTGAAATATAGTCATGTGGCACTTTTTACAATGACTGCAGAAATGTTTGCTGGGATGTTGCCTTCAAAAGTGAGGAAGTCCAGTGGGAAATATTAAATCAGCAAACAAAATTAAATGAGTCTACGTATTTGTAAAAAAAATTCCAAATAGGAGCTGCCCCTCCTGAAAAAACTGCTCCTCCTGAAAACTTCCACATGGGGAACCTGAAGGTGAGTCTAAGAGAAATACAGCATAGTATGATAGAAAGAACACTCGACTTGGAAAAAGGAGCCCTCAATTCTAATCTCAATTCTGTCACTACTTACCTATGTGACCTTGGACAAGTCATTTCACCTGAGTCAGACTTTCCTCATTTCTATGAAAAGGAAAAGGCTATATGCTTTGGGTGGCATCGTTCCAAGAAAGAAAGAGGTGATAATCTCACTGTATCACTTGCTTGGGATAAGAACTCATCTGCAAAGCTCAATTCAAATGCTGAACACTGGAACATTCAGTTTTGGATGGCACAGTTTAAGAAGGGCATTGAAATAAACTAGAGTGCGTCCAGAGGAGGGCAACCAGAATGCTGAAGAGCCTTACTTAGGTCCATGTCATAGAAGTTCAGCTATTAAGGAACTGAGGCTGTTTAACCTTATTGGAGGGAAATGACCCCAGAGGGCAGAATCAGGGCAAAGAGACAAGTTTAGGCTTTAATGTTAAGACAAACTTCATAACAACTGGAGCTGTCTAAAAGGGGAATGAACAGTCTGGGTGGATTACTCACTGTTAAGGAGGATGTAAAACAAAATCTTCACATGTATGCATTAGATTAGATGGCCACTGACACCCCTACCAACTCTCAAATTATGTGATCCTAATTAGATGGTTTCTCAGCGTGCTTCCAAAATATTCTATTCTCCAAGAAGAGAATCATCTAATGGTTTTAAAGTGGAAAGGTAGTGGTGGTAGAAGTAATTCACCATAGCAAGCTACACTGGTTCCCATTAAGACCACTCTGGAGAACCCTTAAAAATAAAATGAATTTAAAGCAGCCTGATACTTATAAATTCTATACCCCAAGTTTCCTACTCTTTTTAAAAGAGCCCTGATTTCACACTTCTAACATGAATTTATCTTCTCTTGAAGGCAAATCCACTTTAAAAAAAAAAATCCTTCCCAGAAATCTATTTTAGGGGAAAGGAAGGATGATATATCAGCTTGGTGGTGTAGTGGATAGAATGCTGGCCTTGGAGTCAGGAGGACCTAAATTCAAATCCAGCCTCAGATACAGTTGGCTGTGTGACCCTGGGCAAGTCACTTAATCTTGTTTGCTTCAGTTTCCTTTATCTGTAAAATGAGCTGGAGAAGGAAATGGCAAAACACTCTAGTATCTTTGTCAAAAAAACCCTAAATGGGGTCATGGAGAGTTGGACACCATTGAAACGACTCAACAACAACAAAAGGATGGTATGCCACCGTAGATCTTCTAACATTTTAGTAGCAAGTAGCAGTATGTGTTTTGAAATACTTATGTGTGTGTACGTGAAGTGTGTATCTTTTAATAAAATTTCCTAGAGATGAATCAAAGAAAGAGATTGTTTAATATCATCTTCTTGGTCAATAACCCCTGGGAGATTCAAGACCTTATTCACAAACTGACAATCTTAACGGCCTGAGGTACATCTTTGCTATGGGTCAGGGTCCATAATGTTAAAAGGCTGAAATTTACCTGCTACGGAGAGCAGAGTCACAAGCAAAAAGAATATAAAAATAAACCCATGTAAGGAGCATGATTTTATCCAACCAGACATTTAAAGGTTTAAATTGAACCTTTAAAAGATAGAAAGGATGTTGAAGAAAAAAAGAAACTGTTCTCAACATTATTTCAATGATTCTCTCAAACTGCTGAAGATTATGTCTGCTTTTTAAAAAATGAAACAATATATACTACCTTTGAAATTATTAATGATAAAATAGAATGACAAAATCATGACAAAATAGAACACAAAAATAGCTAGAGAACTGTTTAATAGATGTTGGAGGTATGATTTTAGGAGTAGCAAACATTATTACCAGCTCCTTCTTATTACTGTTTCATATAGTTCATCACTTAAAAGGTAATTTTCGAGACATCAGCCCAGTGATTAACACCACTTTTTTTTCCCAGTGATCCAATCAAGGTTACTTCTTTGTATGTAGAATGCCAAGACTACATTCATGCAGTTAAGCTTTCAAGATTCCCATCAGTTTTTTGGCAGTTTAATTTCATTTATCCCTCACAACTCAAATCTACAGGCATTTTCATCTTAAAAATTATTCTAATTTAAATATAAAGCTTGTGATGCCGTATAAACTGACATGGAAAGATCCTTAAGATTATGAACTTATTACTTACACAAAAGAGGAGGCAAACCTTTCTGGTACAAAGGGCACCTTTTTCAACCACATTACTTAAGTTACAGTAACCCCATCCAACTACCCACCTCCCTCAACCTTCATTCATTCATTCATTTTCTTTAACATATTTTAAGTATTCATAAAGTAAAGAATTGGATACAAAGCTAAACAAGTCAGAATTCCTGCCCTAGTCTATAGAGTGTTGTATAAAACTCCCCTCAAAAGATCTTTTAATTAATCTTTTCTAAACCTTTTGGAAAATAATTAACTTAAATATCAGTTTGTTATTTATAAAGGGTCAGTAACACTACTGTGCTTGCTTTAAAAATGACAAATTAAACCTTATGATATTAGAAACTTTAATCAATATGCTAAAGAATTCAGATGTGAAATTACAAACTGGGAATAATGAAATATAGGGAGTAACGAAACAGACCTCTTTAATAAAAATTGTTTTTTTTTAAATCCCCTTTCTTACTGCTGCCAATATGATGAATCTGGTTCCTGGCTTGGTATGCCATTCTGGAAAGCATATTAGTTTATTTTTCTTTTTGCTAAATTTCTTTAGGTTTCCTCTTCTTAAATCAAAGAAAAGATGCCTTTAAATGGACTTTATATGAAAGCAAACAAAAAAAGGAATAAAACGTACAGGCCAATTAGGAAATGCAATATGCCATGCCTCAAAGTCACTTCATATGCTAAAGATAAAAGAGGCTGTTTTCTTAATCAAATGGATTCTTCATTTGAGTGAAATTTTGAGGAAGTCTATATTAAATGTTTTATTAATGTTCTTTGGTAGTCAGCAAAGAGCATTTTGAAATGAAGTCTAAAAATGTAGATTATGTTTTAAAAATACTCCTTTTAAATCCCCTATGTGTCTGGATTATAAAACAGACTCTTCAGCCAGCAGATTTTTGAGTCTAAGATTTTGCACAATATTTTCTAGGCTATACTTTTAATTTCTTCCCTACTATTATTCTCTAAACTCGTGTTAAACATTGACCACAGACACAAAAATTACTCAATTTATGCTTCAAGGACTGAAACATATATTACTCAATAATAAAATCACCAAAAAACACTTTGCATCACAATGATTTTTTCCTTGAAAAAATTTCATTTTCTCAGCTTTTTATGCTATCATGACAAATGTTTAAAAAGCCTCATTATTATGCAATAAACAAATTACTCAGCTATTAGATGAATGAATGAAAAATGGAAAAAATGAATGACTGAATGAAAAAATCACACACAAAAGACCAGGTTTTAAAAAAGCAACAAATCCACTTATAGTCTTACTTTGAAAACTTTTAAGAACAAACTTAGCTTTCATGTAATTATGAGCATCATTTTTATTTACCTGGCCTAATTTGTCTTCTAATAGTTCAAAAAACTAGTTCTTTGGCTCAAAAATGAAAGATCATTTACTCCTAGATGTTAACAAGCCCTCTTTCTGATATGCAAGGATATTCATATGTATGAAAGTTCATGTGTGATACATCATAAACTAAAACCAGACCTCATATTTCTATCATTGCATATATTACAATCACATAGCAAGAGTTTTGTTGACATACAGCCTCCATTTTTCAGTCCTCTGAGCACAGAGGTTATAAACATGACACATTCAGTATACTGTCTCATGCCCTTTTGAAGGTGGAAGCTGTTGAACAGAACACCATTTAAACAATGAGGATACTCCTAAAATTATTACAAGTTGAAACCAGCAAATGCCAAGGTAAACCAAAACATTAAACTACGTCCCTAAAATAAGCAGTAAATATAAACTTGAAAACATGTAGTATGACATGTAAAATTTTATTAAATAATTTTACCTTAACCAAATGAAACACTCTAAATTCTAGTGCATCTCTGGTTTCAAACTTTCAAATCGTATTTGAATGAAATCTTCAGTCCGTTGCCAAGTACCTAGAGTAAGAAAAATAAATGAATAACATTTAGGTCACCAAGCCTTTTTCAAAAGACTTATACTTTACATTTTATAGTTTGCAAAAAAAAAAATCCTCTTATTTACATTCTGTCTGCTTTTAAGACAGAGTAAATGACAAACTTCTATACTCTATTCCTGACATGCAAAATCACTGGAGGATCAATAGCATAAATGTCAGTTTCTCTAAGGTACTGCATCAACTGCAAAGAAGTATAATCTGCTATCTATCACAATCCCACATAATTGAATAGTAAATCCCTGTGTGTGTTTAGTGGCACCAAAGCTTTCATTAAAAACATTTCTGAAAAATTATAATTTAAAATCAGTAGAGAATTTCAAGGAATGGGGTAAAAAGTTATCAGCTCCACTTCAAGTTGTATAAAGAAACATTTTGAAAATGATCTAAAATATAATAATTGCTTTCTATATTTATTATTGGGGGGAAATTGATTTGTCTTATTTAAATAAGGAGAATAAGAAGGAGAGGTCAATATATCTGATAATAGAGTATTTCAGAATTTAATCCAATTCTATGTATTTCTCTACTGGGTTTAACTCACATTGTCTCTACTTATTTAATATATAGTTCTGAGAGTCTTCAATGAGTTTTTAAAATTTGTACATTTATATACATATAGTGAGTCAAAGTAGATTAGTCATAGAGCTTCTAGGACGTATTTATATTAAAACTAAGCACTAAGTAAAAATATTTCTTCTGTATGAAAATAAACACTATTATTCATTTGCTTGCATATAAGATGTAAACTTAATATATTAATAAACAGATTCTATGTAAAAATTTAAATTAATTTTTACCTTTCCACCTATAAAGTTAGTTTTTAAAGATTTTAATAGTACATTAGCAAATTCAACAATTTCATGTCATTTTATGTTTGCTCCTTGTTATAAAATGAAAACAAGGAATGTTCTGTTAGGAATAGGATCTGTCTTGGCAATTTTTTCCCTTAAATTACACTTCAATTTTTCTAACAAAATGACCTCCAAGAATGTATGTTTATTTTCCCAAGAAGCATATTTGAAAACTATATGACCTATATCTTGTACTGTATTTTTGCCTTCATTGAAACCATTTATTTGTAGGTAATTCCTGCAGTAGTTCACTAAGGTTAGTTCAGTGTTGGCACTCACTAAAAATAATGCCCATGCAAATCTACACACTTATTTCTTCTCCTTGTAATCCTCTCACTAGATGTTCAACTTAATAAATGCAAAGGCAGCTTTAATCATTCAAATCTTTCCTTCAAGGACGCGATGCGCCTGTCAGAAGTTTTTGGCAATACAGTAAGTAAATTTCTTCAGTATTTCCACAGCTTTGCATGCATTTAAATTGGTCTTCTGCTTTTTAAATGTCAACAATTACAGCATTTTTCCGTCTTTGAAAGGATTAGGCAACTCACAGGCATTTTTCTTAGTACATCATGCACCATTAAGTGGCCAACAGAATTTCATTCCATGATTTTTAAAAAAAAGTTTCCTAACTGATCTTTACAATCGGTTTCATTTATTAAATACCAACAGGATGATACATTTTCTCAGTTACTAGCTTTTCAAACATGAAAACTACACTGAAATCAAGACACGTTGATGTCCTATAGGCATTTCAAAATCAACATGTCTAATACAGAACTCACTCTTATGCCCTTATTCTACTTCATTCTACCTTCCTTTTTTATGTTAAGGATACCACCATCCCTTTCCTGTTAACCTAGATTGTAGCCTAGGAGTCACACTCAATCAACTCTTCCCTCTTGATCCCCATATCTAATCAGTTGCTCTGCCTTGACCATCCTATCTTCACAAGATCCATTTATCTTCTGGAGTCAGTCATAATCACCCTCATGACCTTGCCCCTGAATTATTACAATAGCCTCCTAAGTAGTTTTCTTGTATGTGGTCTCCTCCCTCTCTAATTCATTCTCCACAAAATGTCAAATAGATATTTCCTAACTTTTCATCTTGGTTGAACATGTTCCAGCCAAACTGGCCTACGTGGTGTCCCTCATACACTACATTCTATCTCCTGTCTTTGTGGTTTTGCATAGGTTTTCCCCTGTGGTTGAAATGTGTTGCCTCCACACCTTCCTCTTAGCATCCCTACCTCCCTTCCAGGCTCAGCTCCAGGGTTACCCCCGAGGGGCTGTGCCTGATTTGCTTAGCTGCTAGTCCTTTCTCTTCTAAATAAACATTATTTTGTATTTGTTTTCTACATATTTGGCATTTACTTAAATGTATACATGCTACTCTTCCCAACAGAACATAAACAAAACACCATTGTCTTTTTATCCCCTGCCTTGTATAGAACAGGCAGTTAATGAATGCTTGCTGAGTTGATAATACCTTCAGTGCCTCCTTGCCTTGTCATATCAAGACTCATCCTCTGTCTCATAATCCAGCATCTCCATAACTACATTACTTGGTCCTTCTTTATACCGCCAACCTTACTTCCCACTACCAATGTGAACCTTCTACTCTTAGTCTCTTCATCTTATTTTGAAGTTCATTTAAAGCTATTTCAAACTCATCTGAGCTTCTATGCTTTTGAAGACTCTCTTTTCCATTCATAATACCCACCTACCTTACTTCTATATAGCTAATCAGTTCCTAGCACAGAGCCTGCCACATAGGAGGAACTTGATGAGTGTTTGATAACTGACATCAAATCTTACTCACCCTAAAAGATCAGTTTTCATTCCATCACTTCCTCTTCCATTAAGCCTATCCCAATTAAAATTTACGCAGAGCTCTCTGAAGACCTACGTCCATTCATTATCTCCTAAGTACTTTCTATGTATATGACGTGGTGTTAGGTACTAGACAAATAGGAATTGATCCCTGATGTAGTGCAAGATCACAGAATTCAGAACATTTAGAAAACAAGTCCAATCACTTCATTTTACAGATGAGGAAAATGAGGCTTAGAAAGGCAAAAAGATTTTTCCTTTTCACAAAAAATTACAGAGTAGGAATTCAAACACAAACCACTGATTTAAAATTCAATGCCTTTATCTTGCTGCGCTGAGAGGCAGTAAGAAGGCTCATAGAAGAAATACTATTTGTGAGGAAAGACACTACATAGTCTGGAATTAGGCAGGTAGGAAATAACCAGGGAAGAGTTTACAGGGTTTGGGAGAAGGCATGTCAGGCAGAGCGAAGTTGGATGTGTGTCCAGAGAACAGCAACAAAGACAACTCTGAAAGCTAGAAGTGCCTTCAGGAGCTATCCAACACAATCTCCTGATTTTACAGATGAAGAAATTGAGGTTTTTAAGAATTAAGAGACTTGCACAAGATCACACAGTTAATATCAGAAGCAGAATTTGAAATCAGGTCTTCCTGACATATGGCCCTCTAGTCACTTTCTCCACTTTGTCATACTGACTCTCAATTAGTCCAATTTGGTGACAGCATGGAGTGAAGGCAAAGAAATGAGAAATAACATTAGGAGTCAAAACATGGAGTGACTTGAAGGCTAGTCCAAGTTTAGATTACATATGTGCCCTGAGGCAAGTTTTTAATCCTCTCTTCTTCAGTTTCTTCATTTCTCAAAGTTTTTAGGGACCTGGGGGCTCACACCACACAATTTGTTTTCCAAAGTTTATTTTCATTCATATTATAAACTCCACAAAGAAAGGGACAGGTCTCAAAGTGTGTGTGCGTGATTCACTGTACAGAGAAGCACAGTACCAGGAATGTAGTAGGTATTTGGTACCTGTCTTTTGTCATATTTCTTAAAAATATATTTTTCCAATTATATGTAAAAGCAGTTTTAACATTCACTTAAAATTTTGATTTCCAAATTCTCTCCCACCTGCCTCCCCTCCCCTTCCTCTTCACTGAGAAGGCAAGCAATTTGATATAAGTTATAAATGTGCAGTCATGCAAAACACATTTTCATATTAGTCATGTTGTAAAAGAAAAGACCAAAATTAAAAAAAACAAAACAAGAAAAAGACAATAAAAAAAGTATGCTTTGATCTGCATTCAAACTCCAGTTTTTTCTCTGGAGGGAGACAGCATTGTTCATCATGGATCCTTCTCAATTGTCTTAGATCACTGTTTTGTAAAATTTTTTTCACAGTTATGGTAATTATGTATTTCCCTCCAGTCCATTTTTCCCTGTTTATCCTCTCTCCTTTCACTTGTCCTTCCTCAAAAGTGTTTTGCTTCTGACCACTGCCTCCCCAAATCCACTCTCTCTTCTATCAGTCCCTCTTTTTCTTATCCCTTTCTCCCCCTACTTCCCTACAGACTAAGATAAATTTCTATACTCAATGAGTGTGTATGTTATTCCTTCTTTGAGCCAATTCTGACAAGACTAAAGTTCACGATCTTTAGCGTGCTAGTGCTCCTCACCCAGGGACTGCAAGCAAGAACTACATATGGGCAGTGAAACAGAATCCTGCACTCACTGCCAGCAAAGGATCCCTTGTAATTTCCTTCTGACTATCTGTCTGACCCCCTTACCATCTGTGGGCTGAGCTCCAGAAACTACCACCACTGATCCAACTGCCCCCAAGGCCTGCTGCTGGCTTGATGAGGGAATGGGCCTGTGCTGCACTCTCATTCCAGTAAGACAGACCTTTCCTGCCAACTTTCTAAGTTGTCTTGGGCTGGAAAATTGTTTCACCTTGTTCTTTTGTTGGTTCTGTAGCTCCAGAATTCATTTTGAGGCATTATTTTAAAGTTTTTTGGAGGGGAATTTGGGAAAGCTCACAAAGTCCCTGCCTTTACTCCCCCCATCTTGGCTCTATTGAGCAGGAGAATTCACCTAATACTTTTTTCAGGCTAGAAGTAAACTAGGTAGCACAGTGGGTAGAGTATTAGGCCTGGAGTCAAGAAGACCTAGGTCACATCTGACCTCACTCACTAGTTATGTGACCATGGGCAAGTCACAAACTCTGTCTGGTTCAATTTCCTCAACTATAAAATGGGTACCACCTACCTATCAGGGTTATGAG